GATTGACTTCTATCCATAATCTCCATGCTTACTTTGCAATACCTTCCAGTAATTATTTTTTGTATTTTGTCCAGTGTTTATAGTTGTTATCTAGGGGTATGGTCTGTCTGATAGGAGCATATTCAACTATATTTAAAAATCTTATATTTATTTTTTTTTGAGAAAGAGAGAGATTGAGCAGTGGGAGAGGGGCAGTGGGAGAGGGAGAGAAAATCTTAAGCAGGCTCCATGCCTAGCATGGAGCCCAACGCAGGGCTTGATCTTACATTCCTGAGATTGTGACCTGAGACAGAATCAAGAGTCAGACATTTATCTGACTCAGCCACCCAGGCACTCCTAAAAATCTTTTATTCTTAATAAAAATAATTTATATTTATCCATATTAATAAATATCTTAATAGTTATCTGTATTAATAACTATTAGTTATTAACAGTTACTAATTAATAGTAACTAATAGTAGTCCATATTAATAATTAATCATAATTGATATATTTATTATCAGTATTGACATATAATTTTAGGTTAGTAAACTGTATTACTTTATATTTGCCTGTTTTACTAAGAAATACCTTGGAACTGGCCATTTTAGGTCAGTTCCATTCTTTTTCTTTTTTTTAAATTTAATTTAATTAATTAATTAATTTATTTTTTTAAAGATTTTATTTATTTATTTGACAGAGAGAGAGATAGCGAGAGCAGGAACACAAGCAGGGGGAGTGGGAGAGGGAGAAGCAGGCTTCCTGCTGAGCAGGGAGCCCGATGAGGGGCTCGATCCCAGGACCCTGGGATCATGACCTGAGCCGAAGGCAGCTGCTTAACGACTGAGCCACCCAGGTGCCCCTCTTTTTCTTTTTTTAAGGACTCCAGTAATACCCATATTGCTCTTCTTTGTCAGCCTTTTATATTTGCAACTATCTAGGATACTGTTTACCTTTATCTTCATTTTTGCTTTATTTTCTTTACTTTTCTCATTCTGTCTTCTGTGCCTCTTAGTATACTTTTGGCCATATCTCTATCTTTCTTGGGGACCTTATAATTTAGTATTCGTATCTGAGATAATTTCATTTTTTAAAGTTTTCCTGAATATGATTAGTTTCTATGTTGCATTTTCTTTTGTTGTCTGTATCCATTGTAAGTTTTTGAATTTCTGATTTGTTATGTTCTTTCATGTCTATAGTTGCTTATGTAATTATATTTACTTTATGTGACAGTATTTTGTTATAATTTTCCTGTTCCTTGGCTGGGGATAGATTTGTTTCATTGTGTTTTCAACTCCTGTAAAGTTTTGATTTTCATTTTATTTCATTTTATTTATTTTTTTTTACTTATAGTAACTTGTATCATTGATTAGATCTCCTGAGGTGTTTTCTCAGTATTTCCATACTCAAGGAAGGGCCTTTTCCCTCTGGAAGCAACACTCCAGATGAAATTTTATGGTTTTCCTTTTCATAATTAATGATGTTTCACAACCATTAAGAGCACACTGTGCTTTTCACCCTCTGTGGAGCCTCAGACAGATTCTTTGCTTAGATGTCTCTGGAATGCTCTGCTGACATCTGGTGTTTATTTACCTACTTAAAGAAAATTGAAATGTGTAGTTTCTCTGTTTTCTAGTTACACTGTAGGCATGGATAATGGGTGAATGTTAATAATAGTTGAAAAGAATTGCTTGTATTTAAATACGTGAATCCATTTTTCATGTAAATATTCTATATTACTACTCACTTTGCCCTTACTATATCATCCCATAAGAGTAGGGTCTTCTTTGAAAATAGTGAAAAGATAGAAGAAGCAAAGTTGTGAGACAAAAATATATATAAATTACACTGTCCTACTTTACAAATACTTTTATTCACAACATCCTCACGAAGGCCAGAATACCTCATTTTCAAATGTCATACTTGGTATTTATCACAAATATGTTTTAGATACAGGAAGTGCTACGATGAGTTACTAGGTGCCTTGGTTAACCTAGAGGAAACTTCTCTGAAATAGTATTTAACATTGTTTCCTTTTTTTTTTTTTTTTTTGATGCTCTGGAATTTTTACACCTGGGAGGAATATATCACAGTAAAATTACAGGTGTATTTCTTTTGAATAGTAGGGGGAAGGACTATTTGAAAAGAAAAATTGAACAAAGCTATGAAAGAATATGGATAGAAGTTGAAGAATTGGAAGTCAATTTCTGTGTATTTCTTGCTAAAATTGTGCACATCATAGGGGGTACTGGTATGCTAGTTTGAATACTAGCCTGTATTCATCCTCAGGTTCTATTTGCTAGATGAAATGATCCAGAGTCTTTAATATTACTTCAGCTTCTGTCCACTCATCTAAAGTCAGGGTCGGGAAAAGGTAATCTTGGGATGGGATGGTTTGGCATGTCTTCCAGCCACGTTGTTCATATATGTGAGATTTCTTTGACCTGGATGTTCACTTGTTGTCTCCCCACTTGTTTATTTTTTGTCTCTCACACTGTCCTTAGTTGTGTGTAACTGTGTGTGCCTAGGTGTGATTGTGTATGTGTGTGTATGTGTGTGATTTCTGTTTGTTTATAGGCCTCAGGACTGATTTTTCCTAACCTGAATACAGCCTTTTTGTTATAGTTTGACCAGTCTGGAGTTAAAGTTTGAGAGGTGTTATTAAACCACCAAAAAAGGCACAGGACTAAAATTTTGAAGCCTTGAGTTGGAGTCCTGGCTCTGCCACTTACTGACTTTATAAATTTGGGCAATTTACTTCCTCAATATCATCTCAGTATTGTCTTTCCCAAATGAGAGGGTTGGAAGAATTAGTTGGGAGGACTCTGTAAATGCTGACATTGTGAGATTCTGAAGATTCTCCCATGGCATTTCTGAGCCAGAAATGACAGTTGTAACATAGGCAGGAGGAATGATCTCTGAACCCCTCGTCCCTCCCCTCATTTTCTACCCTATCTGCTGCTTCTGACTCACATTGGTCCCCTTTTCTCTCTTCTTCATGCCCTTCTCTTATGTCTGATTTTCCCTATTCAGTGTATTTCTGACCGAAGAGGAAGACCCTGTGATTAGCCAAGTAAATCAAAGGATTCAGCTCATCATGGGGCTGTCAGATGAAACAGTAAAATTTCTCCAGGTGTGAGTTATCTGAGTCAGCCTGGGTAGGTAATCTCTGTCCTGTCTCCTGTTACTGCCACTTCCCACCTTGCATTTGAGCTATGGTTACCTCTACTCTGAAGCTCTCCGTTCTCCATTTTGGGGACACTGACCTTGAAATGCCCTGAGCCCCACTTCTGTGTCCCTCTCTACAGAAACCTATCCAGTCTGATCGTTGGTTGCCTCATCCTTCTTTCTCTGGATCCACAAATTGTTGAGGGTTTAAGAGCATGAGCTCAGGAACCAGAAAGTCTGGGTGTGAATCAAAGCTTTGCTTTGTGACCTTGGATAAGTTCCATACCCTTTCTGACCTTTAATTTCCTCATCTAGATGCAGGTCTTAGATAGACTGCTTATTGTGTCTTCACTTAGGAGCAGGCCTGGGGATGCAGAGTTCCTGGGATGACTTGAAGGTTGCCCACCTAGCTAACCCTATCTGTTGTTTTTTTACTGCCATGTTGCTGATTACAGTATTGGAGGCTTCTTTGAACCTCATTTGGATTATTTCTTGGTAAGGGCAAAATGTTATTCCTTTGAGTTGTGTTTCTATTGGCAGGGGAAGGTCAGAGCTCACATGAGAGGTTTGTCTTCTAGTTCAGGGGGCCTCTGAATTATCAAAGATAAATCTTTGGGGACTATTATAAAATCACACCCAGAAAAGGAAAAAGCCTTTATCCCCTTCTCCTAATGTGGTGCTGTCTCCTCCAGGCACACCTGGAATTGAGATGAATTCTTGGGATGGAAAGTGATAGAGACAGAACCACACAAAGTCCTTTGCTCCCACCTGTAGCCCCTCTTGTGCTAGGTTCCTCTGCCTCTCTGCAGTCAGACTCACTCCTCTGTGACAGGGGGAGCACTTGAGTCTATTAACTCTGAGCTCCAGTACTTTAGCCCAGCACAATTCCCTGGTGTGGCTGAGCCAAACAGAAAGAGAAGACAGACATTTTGTCCTTTGGGAAAGACAAGCTGAATTAGCAAACTAAACAACAAGTGTTCATTAGCACCTTTCATGTGCTGATTACTCTCCTGGAAACTAGGGCTAGGAAAGCAAAGGAGACAATACCAGTTCCCATAGACAGACCATAGTTTTTTGGGGGGAGACACACATATGAATGGCTACTTTCTAAATAATTGAATAAGTGCTATAAAGGAAGTTTGTGTGCAGGGGTCCTGGGACCCAGTGAGCAGGCACACAGCCTGAGCATTCAGAGAAGACTTCCTGAAGAGTTAGGTCTAAGCTAAGATTGTTCCTTTAAATCTGACCCTTCATAAGAAGATGTCCCTGGGATCAAAGCCCTCTCAGTACTGCTATAATATAGTCTGAGGGCACCTGTCTCTGTGGTCAGGATGGACCCACCGGTTACGGGAATCTGGGGAACTGCGTTCTTGGTGCTGCAGGGACAGCTTTCACAGAGGTAACCACATAGACTTTGAGAGCAAAAGCCAGCCTTGTCCTGTGGATAAGCCCCCTTTGTGATTCTACTCTGAACTTTTCCTGACTTAACCAGGCCTCGGATGCAATGTTTTCTAAGAGTGGCATGTATTCCTTTTTAGCCATCTTTTCTGATCTGCTTTCTTTGTTGAATTTTCTATCTCCATCCTTGACAAAGACCTGAATTGGTGGTTTGTCCTGTGAATGCAAAACTTAGTTCCTGTGTCTGCCTTCCTGCCTTGGTTCTGCTCTCAATTGCCTGTCTGCTCATGTCCATCCTAAAGGGGTGGGGTGACCTATATTTGACTGTGATGGGTTTCTTTTTCTCATACCACATTATTTGGGAAATTATAATGGATGGGAAAGCAACTGTTTTTTGTGCTTCTTCACTAGTTAAGTCTAAGACCTGCATAGTCACTGTCACTTAAATTTCACAGGGATTTGACAGCGAGCCTTTGGAGCCTGACGAGACAGGGAATCGTGTGGCCACATTCATGACTTATGTAAGTATGGTCAGTACTGGATTGCCCTGTAGGCACACCAAGCCTAGGCTAGAAGGGTCCCCACTGAATCCAAGTATTGAGGGTTTGGATCCACAAGTTTATATTTTTAGAAACACGCCAGAAGATACTAATGATCAACCTGGTATAGGAGCTGCTATCACTTAGTGATTAGAAGTAGAGGGAGAAAGAGGGAAAGGGAGGAGTCACAGAATCACATGGAGGACTTTTGATATTACACAGTACCTCTTTATTCTATTGCTCCTTAGGTTATCAGTCTCTCCATTAAAGAGTAAGACCTAGAACCATTTGTTTTGCCAGTGAGGTGTGATTTCCTCTTCTGGACTAAGACTAATTTTTTAATTCTTAAAATAATAATTTGATTTTTTAAAAGATTTTATTTATTAGCACAAGTGGTGGGAGAAGCAGCGGGGGGAAAGGGAAAGAATCTCGAGCAGACCCGGCATACTGAGCAAGAGCCCAATGTGGGGCTCGATCCCACGACCCTGAGACCATGACCTGAGTCGAAACCAAGAGTCGAAGGCACCTAGGTGGCTCAGTTGGTTAAGCGACTGCCTTCGGCTCAGGTCATGATCCTCGAGTCCTGGGATTGAGTCCCACATCGGGGTCCCTGCTCAGCAGGTAGTCTGCTTCTCCCTCTGACCCTCTTTCCTCTCATGCTCTCTATCTCTCATTCTCTCTCTCTCTCAAATAAATAAATAAAATCTTAAAAAAAAAAAAAGAAACCAAGAGTCGAACAGTTAACTGACTGAGCCACACAGGCACCCCAATAATTATTTGATTTTTGAGCTAATTTTTAAAATAAGCAATGAGGGAAAAAAGCCTCAAGATTCCTAGATACTTACACCAGGCATTTTTCTACTGTCTTTCTTTCTCTAGCCAAAATTATATCAGATAATACTCAGATACCTATTTTTGCACTGCTTTTAAGATTTCAAAATCCCAAAGAGAATTTTGCTCATAAGTGGTGATTGCTTCAAAGAGGAAAGATTTCTGACTCATTCTTACATATTCCTTTTGAAAAGAAATGACTGGCAATATCAAAATTCTTTCATACTTCTTTACCCAATTTGAGGTTGGTACAATATGAAGATCCACTCTCTTCTTTTAAAAATAGCATCATTGATGGGCAAAAAACAAAAACAAAAATAAAACAAAATCAAACAAAATTGATTTGGACAAGGAACTTTATTCTTTTTTTTAAGCATTTTAAAAAAAATACAATGGCATTTCTTAATCAGTGTGAGACCTCAGCTGATTTGGATAAGGACTTTTCTTTCAGGAATTTTTTGAGCATGACCATTTGTTCTGTTTATTGCAGTACGTGATAACAATTTAGAAAACGGACATGGGTGGTCTATTTTAGTACAATGAGCAATAGTCACATGTGTGAATTTCCTCTTGTCTCCAGGATAAAGTAGAAAAAAAATCATTAATTATAAAATGAGTGTAGGGAATTTTATGCCTCTTTAAGTGTTCTGCTTCCAGGACACTTTTGTACTAGTTTCTTGGAGGTGTAGATCTACAGTTTTTCATCAGATTTTGGAAGTTTTTGGCTATTACTTCTTCATGTATTCCTTAAAAAAAAAAAATTTTTATTTGAGAGAGAGAGTGTGTGTGTGTGTGTGTGAGAGAGAGAGAGCGAGAGATCACGAGCCGGGGGGAGGGGTAGAGGGAGAAGCAGACTGTCCGTTGAGTAAGGAGCTTGATATGGGGCTTGATCCCAGGACTCTGGGTTCATGACCTGAGCTGAAGGCAGACGCTTGACCAACTGAGCCACTCAGGCGCCCCTTCTTCACATATTCCTTATGTCCCTTTCTCTTTCTTCTTTCCTTCTAAGACTTTGGAGGGTTTCCCACAGGTCTCAGAGGCTCTCTTAATTTTAATTCGTTCTTTTCTTTCTGTTCCTAAGACTGGATAATTTCAAGTGATATTTCTTCATGTTTGCTGATCCTTTCTTCTGTCAGCTTATATTGCTATTGAGACCCTCTAATTAATTTTTAAAATTGCACTCCTTGAACTTAACTCCAAGATTTCAAGATTGGTCCTTTTTTATAATTTTGGACTCCAAGATTGGTCCTTTTTTATAATTTTTGTCTTTTTTTCGATATTCTCTATTTGATGACATATCATTATCATATTTTCTTTTAGTTCTTCAGACACGGTTCCCTTTTGTTCTTTGAGCACGTTTAAAGTAGCTGTTTTAAAGTCTTTTCCTAGTCCTCAGAGACAGTTTCTGTGGATTGCTTTTTTCCTGTGTATGGGCCATCTTCATGTTTCATTGCATAGCTAGTAATTTTTTTGAAAACTGGGCATTTTAAGGAATATAATGTGGCTTCTATGCAAACCAGACTCTCCCCAACCCCCAGGTTTGTTTTAGGTTTTCTTGTTCAATGACTTTTATGAATAAATCTGTAAAGTCTGTATTCTTTGTTCCCTCTGGAGGCTCATTTCCTACTTTTTGTGAAAATTGTGGTAAGATAACATTGTACAACATAAAATTTACCATCTTAACCATTTTAAATTGTACTGTTCAGTACTATTAAATATATTCACATTGTTGTGCAATTGTTTTCCTGTTTTTTGCAGTTTCTGGTGGCTTCTTGAATGCCTTAGCTCCTGGCATCCTTCTCTGTCTTCAGAGTCGCCAGTATAATATCTTAAAATCTTCTTTTGACTCTGCCTGCCTGCCTCCCTCTCCCACATTTTAAGAATCACTGTGATAACATTAGACCTACTTGGATAATCCAGGATAATTTTATCTTAAAGTCATCTTATTAACAACATTAATTCCACCTGCAACTTTAAGTCCCATTTGCTGAGTCCTATGACATAGTCACAGATACCAGGGAGTAGGAAATGGACATCTGTGGTGAGGACATTAATTTGTCTACCACACCCCTGTATCTCCCAGTCACCCAGAATATTGCACCAGCCAATGCATTCCTTTCCACGGGTATCCCATCCCAATTTACCATTATAAAAGTTTGGACAAATGCCACTACATCATATCAGGGAATATCAGTATTCCATCTATCACCATTGAAGGGGTCTTCATTGTGAGCAATCAAGAAGATGATCCAGTGCCAAAACCCCATTTTAGAATCTGTGTCTAAGGACTCCTTGGTCCCAACTGATTTTAGGTCAGTTTGCCTAGATATAGACTCCAAACTGGAGATTTGCATTCAGGAGTAACACCTTTAAGGCACTGAGAGAAATAGAGTTGGACAGTCCAATAAGGTGAACCATGAGGCAGTTGGAACACAGACCTCAGTCAGTCCTATCAGGAGCTCTTGAACTCAGAAGGCCCCTTACAGTTGCCTTAAATGTAGCAAGGTACCTAGGCCAAATACTGAATGCAGGCCCTCCCCAGGGATGTTGGATAACTGTAGGTGAGGCATTTCTCTTCACATAAGGGCAATGTCTGGAAAGGGACATATTAGCAACTGATAATCCCAGCAGCTTCAAAAATGAGTATTTTATCCAGAAAGAAGCATCTGGATAGCTCATCACTCTGTCTACACAGGCTTCATTGTGTGCTCTCTGGGCTGATTGGCTGAAAGGAGGCAGTGAAAGGGAGAAGCTCTAGATTGCAAGGGGCAGAAGAACATGAGTTAATATATGTCCAAAATATTCTTTCTTTTCAAGTAGTACTGGCAAGGCAGTGTTGGATTAGCTTCTCCTGGGGCACTTATAGACATAGTGTGACCAGGTGATTCTCCGGGTGCTGTTTCTTGCTGCCAAGCCTCAGGGAATGGTAAAGTGGGCCAAGTAGTGCCTATAGAACCTTTCTTATGGATCCCAAGGAAGAGGCAGTTGGAAGAAAGCTAAGAGACCTATCTTTGAGGCCTGCAGAAATGAGTTGTAGAGCAGAGGTACCAGCACAAGAAAGGGAAAGCAGCAGTCTTTACCAGCTAGGGGCCCGATAATACTACAACCCACAGATATTATGTGAATTCTGAGAATGCTAGGTTCATGGGAACTGAATGAGGGTCAGTCCAGATAATGTTCCTTTAAAGGAATGTATTAGCTGGCTGAGAAGTGTAGAATGAGTGCTGGCTTAAATATTCTCCAGTGGGACTCTGCCACTGACCCCTTTAGAGGTCAGACTCTAGTAGAAATCACTGGCCTCACTGTCTTCCTCTGGCAGTCTCCAGACCCCTTCCATGTATCTGGTCGCAGTGGCCAGTCCTTTCAGACAGAGTGTGTCAGGGCAGAAGCAAAGTTGAGAACCATACTGTATGCCTGAGAGCTCCAACTATGAGGCAGGAAGTTATGTGCCTGTTTTATTTGTCATTGTGTGCCAGGGTTGGGAACTGTTTTACCACATAGTAGGTGTTCATGAGTCCTTGTGGAGCAAAAGATGAGCACCTCTGCCAGGTTGAGAGCTTCCAGAGGTAGGGGAGTTAGGGCTGGGCAGAAGGACCTACGGGGAAAGTATTAACAGAAACCAACCTGTTGTTCTAGGAAGTAATTCTCCCTTCTTGGAAGAGAAGGACCTCAGAGTCACTGGCCAGAAATCCCTTGCCCAACTTGATCGTTATTGAGGCCTGGCCATTTCTGGTAAGGGAGAAAAATAGCATGGTGCACACCACGTCCCCGAATCAGGTGGCATGGACAGTCTGAGGGTCTCACAACCACTGTGCTTTGTGTTCCCAGAGGAGCGATGTTGAAGCTGGTGCTGCCTCTGTCTTCCCACACCTAGGGTCTATCATTGCGCCCAAGAAGGTAAATTCTATTCTTTGTAGGTCACTGGTTGCTTCAGGGCTCAGGCCTTGTCCATTTCCCTGCCCCATTCCTTGCCTTATTTGACTATGACTGTGATGGCCTGAGGAACTAATGGCCTAGACTCTGATCTTGTGGTCTTTACTTTGGGAGAAGGAACAGGAGTTCTTCAAGGACAAGTCAGTTTCCAGATATTCATCATAATAATGAGGGGTAGATGCTGCTTGGGCAGTATTCCTGGACTTCCAGAGCTCTGTCCTCTTGTACACAAGGAAGTGAGTGTTTTCTTTCAGGATAGCGTTTCAGGAGCACTCCATGGTTAGGTCCCAGAGACCATGTGGAGCTGGGGTGTGGGTATATATGTAGGTAAAGACTTTCCCTGAATAAAAACAAATCCCATGCTCATCACTTATGGCATCTCCTTTGGATTTCAGAAATTGCGTCTTCCAAGGACCCT